ATACACACAATTATTTGCCACTTTCACAAAGATACAGGACATTTCCATCACCAAAGGATCCCCTTGGTTCCCTGTTATAGCCACACCTACTTTTTCCTTGCCCCAGCTCTCTCCTGACAACCACGATTCGTTCTCTACTTCTGTCATTTCACTATTTCAGGAATATTATTAAATGGAAGCATACCGTATGTAACCTTTTTGAGATTGGTTTGTTCCACTCAGGTTAATTCTTTGGATATTCACCCAGGTTGTTGTGTGTATTGACAGTTTGTTCCTTTATACTGATAAGTAGTATTCCATAGTATGAACGTGTCATCGTTTGTTTGACCATTCTCTGCTGAAGGATATCTGGGTTGCTTCCAGTTTGGAGCTGTTATGAGTAAAGTTGCTATGAGCATTCCATGTGCAGGTTATTGTGTGAATGTAAGTCCTCATTCCTTTAGGATAAATGCCCAAGAGTGCAATTGCTGGGTCATTTGGGGGTTGCGTGTTTAATTTTTTAAGAAATTGCAAAACTGTTTTCCATAGCGACAGTACTGTTTTACATTCCTACCAGCAGTGTGTGGGTGATCCATTTCCCTGCATCCTCACCAGCATTTGATGTTGTCACTATTTTTATTTTAGCCATTCTGATGTGTAGTCATAGCTCATGGTTTTGATTTATATTTCTCCGATGGCTGAAAATACCGAACATCTTTGCATGTGCTATTTGTCATCTGTATTTTTTTCTTCTGTTAAATATTTCTTCATGTCTTTGTCCATGTTCTAATTGGATTGTTTGCTTGTTTATTGGAGTCCTTTATATATTCTAGGTACTCGTCCTTTGTTGGATATGTGGTTTGGCACATATTTTCATACAGTTATAAAATTATGTTTTATTCCTATAAATCCATTTTATTTATCAAAAAAACAGTATTTAAAAAATAAAAATACAAATATATGTTTACAAATGTAAAATCATATTCAACAAACATCAGCTGTATAAATGGTTCTTTGGAAAGTTTTTTTGTGTGTGGGCTGGACTGGCTGATGCTTTATTAAAATAAAGGCCAGTAAAATGTAAAATGAAGATTTTTTTCTGTTGTGTCTCACAGCCTAGCCCTTTTTCTTTGTATTCTGTTTTTAAATTTGAAGAACAGAAAAGTACTGTGTAGCAAAGTGTGTCCATATGCTTGACCACCAGAATTAACAATGAATATTTTGTCACTTTTCTATTAATTCTTGAATGTAAAATAAATAAAACATTACAAAATGTTGAGGATTTTTTTATTCCTCTTTCAGTCCTTCTCATGGCAGAGGCAGCTACTGTTGTATGTCCTTCCAGTTCTGAGTTTTATAATTTTATAGAATATATTTTACAAACCATAATTTGTATTCACTAAGAATTTTCACTAACTTTATTTGAAGATAGGGTCATCAGTCACTAATTTTCATACTGATTTAATGTGCATAAAAGCCTCTGAAATGTAAATGTTTGCAGGGGTAGGGCAGTCTTTATGGCACCTTTATTTTTGATGATCTCTTGCTCTTCCATTTCAAAAAGATCCTTTATTCTTTTACACCTAGACTTTTATGTTTCTTCCTTGGAAGTATGGTTTCAAAGAGACATTTGTTTATCTCAGATATCCTGTTGGACAGTATTACACATCTGTCTGTAATAGCAGTCTTCTTTTCACCGATTTCACCTTTTTTGGATAAATCCTGTTGTTTTTCTGAGCTTTTGCAGCTTACACTTTAATTCTAACGTTGCGCCAGCCACTTCTTAAAGTATTTGTATCATCTTTGCTGTCTCTGAAAATTTCTATCATTGATTTCTCATGGTACCTCTTAATTATTTGGAAGAGAGAAAAATGTGTCACTTCATAGTCATGTCTATTTGCTACAACAGACATTCATACAGAGCCAGTTTTTCTGCCTCATGAATCAGTTCAGACAGTTTTCTTTAAAGTTGATTGTATGAGGCTTGCATGCTTTGCTTCCCCCCACACACACACACATTTTTTCACACTCTTCAAAATTGTGCTATGGTAAAAGACAGGACTGTGACTTTAGATGCTCACTTTTTTTTTACTTAAACTTTTTATTTTGAGATGCTTGTAGATTCACATGCATTTGTGAGAAATAATGCAGAATAGTCCTTGTACCCTTTACCCATTTTCCCTCAATGATACTGTCTTTCAAAACTGTAGTTTCGGCCGGGCGTGGTGGCTCACGCCTGTAGTCCTAGCACTCTGGGAGGCCGAGGCGGGCGGATTGTTTGAGCTCAGGAGTTCGAAACCAGCCTGAGCAAGAGCGAGACCTCGTCTCCACTAAAAATAGAAAGAAATTAATCGGACAACTAAAGATACATAGGAAAAATTAGCCGGGCATGGTGGCGCATGCCTGTAGTCCCAGCTGCTAGGGATGCTGAGGCAGAAGGATTGCTTGAGCCCGGGAGTTTGAGGATGCTGTGAGCTAGGCTGACACCACGGCACTCTAGCCCTCAACACAGTGAGACTCTGTCTCAAAAAAAAAAAAAAAAAAAAACTGTAGTTTCACAGTATCATAAGCAGAACAGTCAAGATACAGAACATTTTGTGAAATAAGCTGGGCACAGAGAGACACATACTGCATGATGCATTTACATGTGGAATCTTAAAATGTCAAACTCATGGAAGTAGAGAGCAGAAATGGTTGTTACCGGAGGCTGGGGTGTGAAAGGGAGATGTGGGTCGAAGGGTGCGAAGTTTCAGTGAGACGAGGGCAATGGGTCTGGGGATCTGTTGCACAGCATGGTGACTATAGTTCATAATGAAGTGTATTTTGAAATGGCTAAAAGAGTGGATTTAAATGTTCTCACCACAAATAAGTATTTGAGGTGATGGGTACATTAATTAGCCTGAGGTGATCATTCCACGGTACATACGTGTATTGTAACATTGTGTCATACCTCATAAATACACACAATTATTTGCCACTTTCACAAAGATACAGGACATTTCCATCACCAAAGGATCCCCTTGGTTCCCTGTTATAGCCACACCTACTTTTTCCTTGCCCCAGCTCTCTCCTGACAACCACGATTCGTTCTCTACTTCTGTCATTTCACTATTTCAGGAATATTATTAAATGGAAGCATACCGTATGTAACCTTTTTGAGATTGGTTTGTTCCACTCAGGTTAATTCTTTGGATATTCACCCAGGTTGTTGTGTGTATTGACAGTTTGTTCCTTTATACTGATAAGTAGTATTCCATAGTATGAACGTGTCATCGTTTGTTTGACCATTCTCTGCTGAAGGATATCTGGGTTGCTTCCAGTTTGGAGCTGTTATGAGTAAAGTTGCTATGAGCATTCCATGTGCAGGTTATTGTGTGAATGTAAGTCCTCATTCCTTTAGGATAAATGCCCAAGAGTGCAATTGCTGGGTCATTTGGGGGTTGCGTGTTTAATTTTTTAAGAAATTGCAAAACTGTTTTCCATAGCGACAGTACTGTTTTACATTCCTACCAGCAGTGTGTGGGTGATCCATTTCCCTGCATCCTCACCAGCATTTGATGTTGTCACTATTTTTATTTTAGCCATTCTGATGTGTAGTCATAGCTCATGGTTTTGATTTATATTTCTCCGATGGCTGAAAATACCGAACATCTTTGCATGTGCTATTTGTCATCTGTATTTTTTTCTTCTGTTAAATATTTCTTCATGTCTTTGTCCATGTTCTAATTGGATTGTTTGCTTGTTTATTGGAGTCCTTTATATATTCTAGGTACTCGTCCTTTGTTGGATATGTGGTTTGGCACATATTTTCTCCCCATATGTAACCTGTCTTTTCATCCTTTTAACAGGGCCTTTTGCATAGTGAAAGTTTTAAATATTTATGGAGTCCATTTATCAGTTTTTCCTTTTATGGATCCTGCTGAATCTGAGAACTCTTTAATAGCTCTAAATCCCAAAGATTTTCTCCTGTTACGTTTTGTTCTAAAAGTTCTATGTTTTCCATTTAAGTCTGTGATCCACTTTGATTTAAAATTGAGTTAAAATATGTGAGGATTAGTTTAAGATTTATTTATTTTTTGCTATGGATGTTCCAATGGCTCTAGCACCGTTTTTGGATAGACTGTCTTACCTCTGTTGAATTATTTTTGCACCTTTGTCAAAAATCAGTTGAGCATATCTGTGTGGATCTATTTCTCGGTTCTCTGTTCTGTTCCATTGATCTATGTGTCTATCCTTCCAACAAACACACAGTTAATTGTAGCTCTGTAAGTAGCTCTGTTCGTCTTACTAGGGTAGACTGATTCCTCAACTTTAGTCTTCTTTTTCAAAATTGTTTTAGCTCTTCTAGTTTCTCTTTGCCTTTCTTTATAAACTTTAATCTTGTCTATTGTTGCAAAAAAAATATTGCTGAGAATATGATGTGAATTATGTTAAACCTGTATATCAGATTGGGAGAATTGACATCTTTACTGTGTGGAGTCGCTCAGTCTACAAACATGCTATATGTCTCTGTTTATTTAGATCCTCATTGACTTTTTTCATCAGTGTTCTGTAGTTTTGGGCATATAAGTCCTGTCCTTGTTTTGTTAGGTTTATACGTAAGTCTTTTTGTTTTTGTTTTGAGTGATTTTAAATGTTATGGCGTTGTGAAATTTGCTGTCCATGCACGTTATTCCAAGTATATAGAAGTAGTCTTCTGTTGCTTAACCACAGGGATAGTTCTGAGAAACGCATTAGATGATTTCATCATTGTGCAAGCATCACAGAGCATACTTTCACAAACCTAGATGGTATAGCCTATTACTCACCTAGGCTATATAGGATAGCCTATTGCTCCTAGGCTACAAACCTGTATAGCATATTACTATACTGAGTACTGTAGGCTGCTGTAAGTATGTGTGTATCTAAACATAGAATGGTACAGTAAAATACAATATTATAGTCTTACAGGATGTGGTCCATCGTTGACCAAAGCATTATGTTATGCATGACTCTACAATGGATTTTTTAATGTTTATCTTATATCCTGCCATTTAGTTGAACTCACTTCCAGGAGTTCTAGAAGGTTTATGGTTTTTTTGTAGACTTCTTGGGCTTTTCTATGTAGAAAATCATGTCATCTTAAGAATTTTTGCCTCTGTATGCATGAGGGTTGTTTGTCTATAGTTTCGGTTTGTTCGTTTTATATTTATACTCTGTTTTTGGTAGCAGAGTAGTATCAGCTCCATGTAATGAGTTTGAAAGTATGCCCTTCTGTCTTCTGGAAGAAATTCTGTAGAATTGATATTAATTCTTTAAGTGTTTGCTAGAATTTTCCAGTGAAAACATTTGGGCCTGGAGATTTCTTTTTTGGTCATTTTAAAATTACAAATTCATTTTCGTAATAGCTGTAGGACTATTCAAATTATCTATTTCTCATAGTGAGTTAGTCGTGATCGTTGTGTTTTTTTGAGGAAGTGGTCCATATGTATATATACACATACACACACACATGTATACACACATATATATATGGTTGTTCATAGTGTTCCCTTATCCTTTTGCTGTCTGTATGGTCTATAGTGATACCCTGTTTCGTTCCTGATACTGGTAATTTTTGTCTTTTCTCTTTGTCAGTCTTGCTACGTGTGTCAGTTTTATTGATATTTTCAAAGAAACAGCTTTTTAAAAAATTTCTTCTATTTTTCAGTTTTCAGTTTCATTAATTTTTGCTCTTTGGTATTTCCTTCCTTCTTGCTTTTGGGTTTATTTTGTTCTTTTTCTCTAGATTCTTGAGATGGTAGTTTAGATTATTGAATTGAGACTTTTCCTGTTTTCTAATGTATCTCTCGGCCCTGCTTTAGTTATGCCCAGCCACAAGTTTTAAAATGGTTATATTTTCATTTTCACTTGCTCAGTACATTTAAAAATTTCCCTTGAGACTTTCTCTTTGAGCTGTGGATTATTTAGAATTTTCCAGTGCTTGGAGATTCTCCTATTGTCTTTTTACCAGTTTAAGTGAAACATAGAAACCTTAACTCTCTTTACATCCTTCTATTCACCCGCATTTATAATGTAATTGTCTAAAACACTTCCTCTGTATACATGTAGAATCATATCAGTGTTACATAATTTTTTTTTAACTGCCAAACATGATTTAGAAAGTGTGAGAGGAGGCCAGGCGTGGTGGCTTATGCCTGTAATCCTAGCACTCTGGGAGGCTGAGGCAGGAGGATCGCTCAAGGTCAGGAATTCAAGACCAGCCTGAGCAAGAGTAAGACCCCCGTCTCTACTAAAAATACAAAGAAATTAGTTGGACAACTAAAAATATATAGAAAAAATTAGCCAGGCATGATGGCGCACGCCTGTAGTCCCAGCTACTCGGGAGGCTGAGGCAGGAGGATCGCTCGAGCCCAGGAGTTAGAGGTTACTGTGAGCTAGGCTGATGCCATGGCACTCTATCCCGGGCCATGTCTTAAAAAAAAAAAAGTGTAAGAGAAGGAAAGCACATATTTGCCCATATTTTTTGTTTACCATCTTTTTTCTTCTTTTCTAATGTTCCAAGGTTCGTTCTTTTATCATTTCCTTTCTATTTAGAGAACTTCCTTTATTGGTTTCCTTAGGGCAGATCTACCAACAGCAGATTCTCTTGGTTTTTCATCATCTGAGAATATCTTTAGTTCTTTTTTATTCCTGAAGGATATTTTCACTGAATGTAGGAATCTGGGTTTGAAAAGTTTTTTCTTTCAGCACTTGAAAAATATTATGTCACTTCCATTTGGCCTCTGTGGTTTGTGATGAGAAATCAGCTATCATTCAAATATTTTTTTCCCCTACAGAAAAGGTGTCATTTTTCTCTAGCTGCTTTTAAGATTTGTTTCTTTGTCTTTTGTTTTCAGAAGTTTAATTATGATATGTGTCTTGCTTGCTGTGGGCTCCTTTGGTTTTTTCCTGTTTGGGGGTTCACTCAGTGTCTTGAATCTGTAGGTTTATATTTCTTGCCAAGGTTTGAGAGTTTTGGGTGGTTATTTATTTTTTTTTTTTAATGCTTTTTCAGTACTGTCTTCTTTCTCCTTTGCTTCCAAGCCCCTGATGACATAAACATTAAATCTTTTGTTACAATCCCACGAGTCCTGGAGGCTCCCTTCTTTTTTTGGGGAGAGGGAGGGGTCTGTTTTCTTTCTGTTGTTCAGATGGGGTCATTATTTCTATTGTTCTGTCTTCTGGTTCACTGATGCCTGTTTCCCCTCTACTCTGCTGTTGAGCCCATCTGCTGAGCTTTTTATTTTTTGGTTTTAATATTTTCATTTGGTTTCTAATATATTTTCTTTATTTGCCAGAACTTTGTTTTTCTTTGCTAAGTCTTCCTGGTTTTTCATTTATTTCAAGCATGTTTGTAACTTCTCATTGAAGCATTTTTATCATGACTGCTTTATCTTGGTCATCTAGTTCTGATGTTTCTGTCATCTCAGTATTAGAATCTATTGTTCATCTCTTTTCATATGAAATCTTCCTGGTTCTTAGTGTGATGAGCAATTTTCACTTGAAACTGGACTTATTCGTATTATGTTGTGAGACTGTATTTTATTTAAACTTTATTGTAGCTGGCTTTCTCTAACACTGCTCTGGCAAGAGGAGCAGTGGCACTGTCTCCTTCCTGCCAGCAGAGGTAGAAGTTCAGGCTCCACTTAGCCTCTGTTGACACCTGTCAGTACCGCTGGGCAGGGGTGGCAACTTTGGCTCCCCACAGTCTCCACGGACACTGCACTGACGTGGCCTCGTTACCTGGGAGATGTGAAAGTCTTGACTGTTTGGCCACCTCTGACGGCAGAGGAGGTGAAGGAAGCCTCAGTGCTCACTGAGGAGGAGAAGCTTGTGGTTGCCTGGAGGGGATTGAAGTTGGCACTGGAGCACTCCTAGCTCTTTCTTACTGGGGTGGAAGTCTAGACTGCCCACTTGGTCTTTGCTGTCATGGGCCACATTTTTTCTTTGGTGTTTAGCTGGAGTAGAGTGGTTCTTATCTAAAGCTTTTATCTTTTTAGGCAGCCCTTTCCTGGTCCTTTGGCTTTTATCTTTTTTTTTGAGACAGAGTCTCACTCTGTTGCCTGGGCTAGAGTGCCGTGGCGTCAGCCTTGCTCACAGCAACCTCACACTCCTGGGCTCAATTGATCCTACTGCCTCAGCCTCCCGAGTAGCTGGGACTACAGGCATGCGCCACCATGCCCGGCTAATTTTTTCTATATATATTTTTAGTTGTCCAGCTAATTTCTTTCTATTTTTTTAGTAGAGACGGGGTCTTGCTCTTGCTCAGGCTGGTCCTGAACTCCTGAGCTCAAACGATCCTCCCTCCTCAGCCTCCCAGAGTGCTAGGATTACAGGTGTGAGCCACCGTGCCCAGACTATCCTTTGGCTTTTGTTGGGCGTTTTTTGGTCTGCACCAATTGGTGTTTTTGTGTTGCTGGTTTTAGCTCCATGCCTGGCATAAATGAGGCAAGAAGTAAACTCAGGAAACTCACCACTTTGTCTTTCCTCAGGTTCTGAGCTCTCTAGCCATTCTGCCTTCTCTCTTCTTTCAGATTCTTATATTTGCTTTACACATAACGTACAGGAATTTTAATTGTACTTAGTGGGAGGAATAGAGAAAAGTATGTTTATTCCATCTGCCCTGAAGCAACTTCTGTCATTTACTTTTGTTTCTTTCTTCTGAGGACTCAATGCCATGTTTTAATTCCAGAATTTTATTGTTAACTTTACCCTATGTATAATATTTTCTTTTTCTAGGTAGGGAAGAACAGATTAATTTTAAATTTAAAGGAATTCCCGAAAGCAAGCAGACATGGGAGAAATACACCATTGGGCTTCAGATGCATTTATTAGAAAGTAATAAATGTCTTTGGGGATGGTTTTTAGTTTAATAAGAAAGATCTTAAAAGGGAGGATCATATTGTTACAAGTACTCAGCAGTCACCTCTAAATATCTCTTGCACTAGAAAGTGACAAAAAGCATCATTTAGGTCTGGTTATAATAGCTGCTTGCCTGGTGTTGAGAAGTTTTCGGTTGGCTTCATTTTCTCAAGATATGCTTAAGAAACGGTCCTGATAACTTTCAGGTTATGACTGTACCTATCTCATAGAATTTTGACTAAATGAAAATTTGAAAAGCCTGTGGTAGCTGTAAAGAACTGTACACATGTGAGGCAGTGATGCCCTTGTAACTTATCTTCCTACAAAGAAATACTTTGCACTTAGAGCAGCACATTTTTACTCTTATAATTCTTGAAATCCTAGAATCTTAAAACTGAAAGAGATCTTAAAGGTAAACCTACCTCACTGCTTTTCCCATGCGTGTAACCCAACTTATTTGAAGGATACTGCACTACCGCGTAGCACAGGACATTTCATCTTAAATAGTTTTGCTATTTGCCCACCTCTTCTCCTCTGAGTTGGATTTTCCTGTTAGATTTTATCCCTTGGTCCTCATTCTGCCTCTGAGCCTACTACTCTACATGAGAGAATAGGGGGAAAAACACCTTTTTCTTTAGGTTGTAATCATTCTTATAGACCACATCCTTTCATTTTCTTCATTTGGTATGCTTACGATCTTTCACCATTTTATCTGCCTTCTTCAATATGTAGAATTTATCTAGTCTTCGTTAAAGTGAAACTGTGGCATCCAGAATAATACACACCACTTGTGTAGCATGGATAGAAACTTTGCTCTTTGAAGCACACTGCACTGTACTGTTATTTCTCATATGTACATAAGAAATCCTGAGAGGTTTTGAGGCTTTTGTAGATAATGTAACTCTTTGCTTTTGTTGTTGGCATAAAACATTTATTGAATTTACAGATGACTCATAGCCCCAGGATTTTTCTTAACTCACTAAGGAAATGAGTTAACTCTTAAACTAAGTCTACCCCATCTTGTTACTTTATTTAGTATAATTTTTAAAAATCTGAAGTGCAAGACTACATTTGCCATTAGGATGTTTTCTTATTAGCTTTGTGGCATTCTAGACCTTCGATTCTCTGATTCATTAATACTGGCTTTCATCTTTCCCTTCTCTAATTCCTCTTCCCACCACTGCAATCACTGCAGTTTTGCTCACTTTTGATCATTATAACCGTCTTGTTATCAAAAGTTTTGGTGAGGCAAGGTCACATACTGAGCACTGCTAGAGTATTTCTAAGTTGATGACATTCCATTAATAATCATTTTTGAGTACCTCAAACTTCCCATATAGAAAGATTTTGGTGTATTTTTTGAGAACATGGTATGAATCATTTTTACCCTTCAAAAACTTAAAAAAAAAAAACAACAGTATTTTCTATAGTTTGGTATTTTACTGGTAACTATTACATTGTTGTATAATATGTGATCTGATCATTTCGGTACGTTTTTAAATTTTGAAATATTTATTACTTGTCTTGGTTTCATTTTACCTATTTTAAAAATATTTCCAGGAAATCCACTTACCCAGGATATATTGAACCTCTATCAGGAACCAGATGGAACAAGAAGGCTACTGAACTATTTGCTTGATAATTTGTCAGGTACTGCAAAAAGAAGTAAGTGGTCATTTGCTTAAACCTTTTTATTAGGAAGATATGTAAGAATATTATTTAATTCTGTGTTTTCTGTTCAACTAGTTTCAACAGAACAACCACCTCCAAGATCTTGGATTATGTTACAAGAACCAGACAGAACAAGGCCAACTGGTTGGTAGCCTTATTTTTTTTCACTCTTGTTTTCACTTGGTCTCTGTAAGCCTAACAGTATTGTTGGCATGCTTTAGATTATGGGCAACATTAAGATAGAATGTTTAGAGTTGATTTGCTTTGGGGGGTAATAATAAAGACTTAATCACTTCGATGTATATTATGCTATAGAAAGCATGCTATAAAGCAGTGCTTCTCAAATGGGTTAATTTTATCCCCCAAAGGACATTTGGCAATGTCTAGAGACAATTTTAATGGCCAAAACTGGGGAAGGTGCTGCTGGCATGTAGTGGATAGAGGCCAGGGAGGCCGTTGAGCATCCTGCAGTGCACAGCGCAGTCCCTGACGGCAAAGACGTGACCCACCCAAAATGTCGATAGTGCCAGTGTTGGGAAAGCCTGCTGTAAAGTATTGATCAAATTCATTTATAGTAAATAATCAAAGTCTTTCCATATTGGAAGTTTACAAATCCTAGCATATTTCAAATGTATTTGACATTACAAAGTTGTAAGACAGTTAAAACCCTAACTTGAGAGAAAAATTGAACTAATGGCCTCTAATCACTTTTTAACCTAAATTTTATGAAAATAGTTTGGGAGCTTCCATGGTATGTGTATCAGAACTTAGTCTGTGAAACGCCTTACATGAACTATTAAGAGTTGCTCTATAGAAGAAAACTAGATGTGCCTGTTAAGGAAACTTCCTGTCAAGTTTCCACATCCTACATTAACGATTGATGGTATGGAGGGACGGAGTGTAGAAACGAGAAACTTAGGTCTTCGAGGCTGAAGGGCTCAAGATCTTAGTCTTTTAGCTTCCAGACCTTCCGTACATCCCTCTGCAGGAGGTCATGCACTGTGTTCTAACTTGTTCACGTATCTGTCCTCCTTTCGTTGTCCATGTTTATTTGTGTCCCCCCTGTCTGGCATATAGTAGCTTTTCAGTGAATATAGATTGAATGAATAAAGTCAAACTTAACATTTAAGTGAAAACTATTACTCAAATTAATTATACTTTTTTTCCTGCCACGTGTGTGAATAAGTAAAGTTATTTTTCCTACAGCCTTGTTTTCTGTCATGTGCTATAATGTTCTTTGTGATAAATATGCGACCCGGCAGTTATATGGCTACTGTCCATCATGGGCACTAAATTGGGACTACAGAAAAAAGGCCATTATTCAAGAAATCTTGAGCTGCAATGCTGATATCATAAGTCTTCAGGTAAGTCATACAGAGGAGTATTTAGATTGCATAAATTCCCTGGCACTGATAAAGCAAGGAGCAAACTAGGAATACATTACACTGACACATTTGAAGTTTTGGTTTCTGTAGTTCTTAAAATACTGCCTTTTTCTGTTTTTAGTGACTCTGTGGAGCACGACCTGCTTTGCAGCACTGTGCTGCCAAATAAACAAACGGGGCGGGCCAGGCTTTGAATATTTGCTGTGACAGCTAAATATTCGCCTTCCTCCCCCTCCGTTGTCCCCACACACTGTTTTTTAATTGGGTGGCAGAGCTACTGAAATTCTGGCGTTGTCAGGTGTAATTTTGCTTTACCACCAGGGCTGCTAGAATAATCAGGGCATAGTGGAAAAGGGCTGGACCTGGTGCACTGTAACTTTGCGTTGTCAGTGTGACTCTCATGATAATGTAAATGATCTTGGTGAAGTCCCTTTCTCCCTGTGGGCCTGAAATTACGATTGCGAAGTTCCTCCTACCGCTGTGGTTCTTGTTCCCCACCAATTCTAGGACATAAGGCAGTGTACAAGCATAGGGGTATGTGTCTTTCCATTCATTATTCCTAGACAACAAAGAGTTGACCTTGGCATCTAGTACCTGTACAGTGACAGGTAGGTGTTATGGTTGGTTTCAGATGAGTAACATTGAAAAGATGTTACATTCTTCAGTCTGCAGATCAGTTCTTGGAAATTATTTTAAGCTCTCAAACTGTATATACAGAGTTAATACATGGGACTGATTTTTGTCTCATGAAATAACTTTGCCATTTATAATTTTTCAGGAGGTTGAAACGGAACAGTATTACAGTTTTTTTCTGGTAGAACTGAAAGAACGTGGCTATAATGGATTCTTTAGTCCTAAGTCCAGAGCCAGGACAATGTCAGAACAAGAAAGAAAACATGTTGATGGCTGTGCAATATTCTTCAAGACAGAAAAGTAAGTCATTTTTTTAATTTTCTTTTTCCTTTTTTAAAATTTAGTAATTTTCTATTTTTTATTTATTTTATCTTGTTTTATTTGCCCTCACCTTCTGAGGCATCATCTTATTTTTAACAAAGAAAATTTTCTCAGAATTTGCAGGATGGGGGCTAAGGGTGTGGAAATTAATTGGTAAATAAAAGAAAGAGGCACTGTATTTTTTCCAAGAAAACAGTGCTGTTGACTTGGGGGAGTTTTTTGTTTGTTTTTAATCATCAGAAATAACTTGTTTTGGAGACAGACTGAAAGTGCTGCTGTTTCTTCAGGTGTTTACTAGGGATTAACTCCAATTGTTAATTGAAATACCTTGTAGTAATTAACATTCCCTCTAGGATGATAGAGGGATTCTTTAAAGTCATACTTGGGAACCAAAGAGTTGTTTAAAAATTACAAGATGGAATATTCCAACATGAAACCTAAACAGAAGATGACTACATTTTCCTAAGTTGCAAATGTCTTTTGAGATGTTATTTGTGTCAGTAACAAACTGAGAGCAACTTGATATGGATGTGGGAAGCTTGGTGCTAAATGTGGAAGATTTTCCGTAATGTGACTTAAGTACCATCGTATCTGTTAAGGAAGTTTGGGAATACTACATTTCCCACACAGCTAACATGTTGGTATTCCCAATTCTATGTTTGTGTGTGTGTTTTTGTTTTCGTTTTAGATTTACTTTGGTTCAGAAACACACTGTTGAATTTAATCAGCTAGCAATGGCAAATTCAGAAGGGTCTGAAGCTATGCTGAACAGAGTCATGACAAAAGATAACATTGGAGTTGCAGTACTGCTAGAACTTCGAAAGGAATTGATTGAAATGTCATGTGAGTGATCCTTTTCACTTTCTGTAAAATTGACCTCCAAAATTTTTAATAGTTCCTACTAGAGATCTTCAAAAAGAATAGAAAGCAGAAATTTCATTGTGTATTAATGGTCTTGTCTAACACCTGAAGAAACTCAGTGAGAATTTGTCTTTTGTAAAATATCGTGTCTTTTTTCTCTACCACAAAGCTTAAGATGAGAAAGCATTGCCCAGAAATGTATTACAAACCTTGAAAGGCATAAAGCAAAAAAATTTTTTTTTTACTCTTAAGAATTTTTCACATAAAAGAAATGTTGAAGTAAATCATCATTAAAATAACTGCTCAGGGGTAAGAACTCCATATACTCCCATAATTTCTTGGCATCAAGGTTATTATGTAAGCTAACTTCTCTTCCTGATCTACTTAAAATAATTATTTTAAAGTTAAGTTTTGGATAAATGGACAATTTATTTCAAATTGAAAGTATATTTAGAAGTGACCATTATGCTAAGAACTGAAACTTCTTTCACTTGAACAGTTGGAACTGGGAATATTTAACGTGGATAGAAAAGATGAAAGAGAACTTAATGACTGTCTTAAATACATCTGAGAAAGAGGGTTTAGATTTAATTTTGTGAAGCTCGATTTAGGACATCCAAACTAAGACCAAAAGTTTCAAGGAGACAACTTTAAATAAATATCAAGCTGTCCCAAATAGATAGGACTGAATGCCGTGTGCTGAAAGCATCAGCCAGAGGCTTAGGTGTCTGTTTCCTAGATTCGCTGTAGGGCATATTCAGTTCTCAGGTGGGGAATTGTCAGATGAATTTTAGGTATCTTTCCTATTCTGAGACTCTGAGATATTATTTGCTTTCAGATTCTGTAAAAACATATGGGCTGATGGGTGGGTTTTGTCTGCTTGTTTTCTTTTTATCTAATGTAGCTGGAAAGCCACATCTTGGAACAGAAAAACAACTTATTCTTGTGGCTAATGCTCACATGCATTGGGACCCTGAGTACTCTGATGTGAAGTTGGTACAAACTATGATGTTCCTCTCAGAAGTGAAGAACATTATTGATAAAGCTTCTCGAAACCTCAAATCCAGTGTATTGGGAGAATTTGGAACTATTCCACTTGTGTTATGTGCAGATCTTAATTCTTTGCCGGACTCTGGTAAGAACAGAATGTTAATTTATATAGAATGCTTTTGACTTAAAACATTTTTGTAATGTATTGTGTTTGATCATTCCAAGTTTAGTCAAAATGAAAATTGAGTTTGTAGTGGCAGCCATGAGCAGGTTTAAAAATTTTTTTGTGTAGGGTGGGGGAAACTGTTTTAAAATGAAATAGTATTATGGAACCCTAAGGAGGAAGGGTAGTATAATCATCTTCAGTAAACACACAGGTGGTTATATTTTATTATCTCCAAGTCATACATAATCCAGACTCTGAAAAGGTTTATTAAGACAGTTGCTTTGGGATTCCAGCATATGATAATATAATTATAGTTTAAATTTAAACTATATATTATAGGATCTCAATTTTTTTGTGTGTCACTTGATCAGGAAAAGACAACTCCAGGTGGAAATTGAGCTCCTTAACACAAATCAGTCAAGTGATTTTAAGAAAGAGCAAGGATCCTGATTTTTATCACAACGTAGAATACAAAAAGCTTGATCTTGAATACTTTTCCACAGATAGTAGTCATAATAAACCATAGCCTTTGTACTATCAAACTAAATATTTCTTCCTTCTTCATACTCACACACAAGAATACTTTTCCTTGGACTTGGATGAATGAACACGTTTGGAATAGGTAAATTTGGTAGCACATTATTGCCATCACAATCGATAAGAGCCATTAAGAAGAAAGAAACTGTTAAATTTGTTTTCAGGGAAAATAAAGGTATCTAAGAACTGTAATTCTTCAGTCCATTTTATCAAGCTGTCTGGAGATTACTGCAACTCAAGTAGTTGAGGATTATTTTCTGGCAAATTCTCTGCATGCATTCTACCCTCTGTGTAGCTACAAAGCATCTGCGGGGGCAAGGAGAGAATCTAGTCAGATAAGACACATCTGACAGCCCTTTCAGAGTTGAAAAATACAGTATTTTAATAGCAAACACATGGGGAAATGTTCAACCTTGCTAACTAATTAAATGAAAATTAAAATGTATTTGCAGAGCCCATCTTATGCTTAAGAAATTGGGAAAACATGGTGGGAGGGGGCCAAAAAAAGAAAAAGAAAAAGAAAAAAATTGAGAAAACAGTGTCCAGGGATGGTGAAGTTGCTCTGGAACTAACTGGTGGCATGTTCTTCCATAGTTGGCAGTATTCTAAAATGGCACATTCCATCCTAATCTTGGGATTTTATACCAACTAAATAATTTAGCATAAGCAGAAACCCGCATACTAAGATATTTATTATGGTGTTATCTTTAATTCTTTTTAAAAAGTGGAAACCTGAATTTTTAAAAATAAGTAGTTTAGCAAATATTGTACACCAGCCCAGTCGTATTATGTGACCATTAAAGAAAGATAATTGGGAAGACATATGTTCACATGGTACAGTATTAAATGAAAAAAGCAAAGTGTAAAGTATTCAGCATACAGTGATTACGCATAAAAATAGATGTGGACAAGTTCTGACAAGTGTACAAAAACGAAACATTTCAGAAAGTAGGAATATATGTGGTTTAAAACTATTTACTATTGCATGACCTTTTAAAATTACCTTTTGTACAGCATATCTCATATATGACAGTGAAAAAAGTACCTTTCTCTTCATTATAGGTGTTGTAGAATATTTGAGCACTGGTGGAGTAGAAACAAATCATAAAGACTTCAAGGAACTGAGATATAATGAAAGTCTCACAAATTTCAGCTACAGTGGGAAGAATGGAACAACCAACGGAAGGATCACTCACGGTTTCAGGTTAAAGAGTGCCTATGAGAGTGGCCTGATGCCTTACACCAATTACACATTCGACTTCAAGGTGCGTCTTGAGTTAATGACAGGCTTTCAAAACCTTCATTTTACTGGCAAGTCTTGTGACTTCAGTATGTCTTTCAAATGTGGGTATTTGTTCAGACTGGAATTAAGCAATCATGACATTTTTGACAGCAGTATTTATTTTATTTTATTTTTTTTCCTGAGAGAGGGTCTCACTCTGTCACCCAGGCTGGAATGCAGTGGCATAGTCATAGTTCACTGCGGCCTTAGGCTCCTGGGCTCAAGCGATCCTCTTGCCTCAGCCTCCTGAGTAGCTGCGACTACAGGCACATGCCACTATACCTGGCTAAATTTTTTTTTTTTTAATTTTTTTTAGAGATGGGGGTCTCACTTTTATATTTTAATTTAACTGAAACTGTACTCTCTTGAGTGCCAAAATGTGGTTTATGGCCGGGCGCAGTGGCTCACGCCTGTAATCCTAGCTCTCTGGGAGGCCAAGGCGGGCGGATTGTTTGAGCTCAGGAGTTCGAAACCAGCCTGAGCAAGAG